TGTTACAAACTAGTCAGAAGGGACCAGCAGGCATTGGGGGAGTCCCTGTTCCCCCGAGCACTGCCAGGAGTGACCAGGAATAACGGTCACAAGCTGGCAGAGGGTAGATTTAGGCTACATATCTGGAGGTGCGACTTCACGGTCAGGGCGGCTAGGGTCTGGAACCAACTTCCAAGCGAAGTGGTGCTGGCTCCTACCCTGGGGGTCTTCAAAAGGAGGCTGGATGAACACCTTGCTGGGGTCTTTTGACCCCAGCATCCTTTCCTGCCCATGGCAGGGGTTCGGACTTTATGACCCTACAAACTATGAAACTATGAAACTATACAGGGACTGCCTCTCGAGCTGGAATGGGGTCCATTCAGACCTTCACCTCTTTTGCCAGGTCTGCCAATTAGTGCTGTTTGTGATGGTGGCTTTTGTCATGCAGACATCGGGACATTCATAATTGGACTTAGACCCAATAGCTCATGTCACTAAGGGTGTCAGATAGCCATTTGGATGATAATGGATTTCAGTTACTGTCAATCTGGGCTATAGTTTGTTTTATTCCATTAGCTGCAATAACTTAGATGCGAGTAGACAGCCCTTTTTCTTACTAAGGTAAAGCTGACGTTCCCTTCTGTGTTGGCTCAGCCTCGAGAGACTGTGCAAGAGATGCACTGTGAGGATATTCTCGAAGGGATCATTTCACATGTCATTGTGGAGGACACCACAGCATTAGCTCACTTGGTCCTTGGTGAATATGATGCCAAGCTGATTAAACTGCAGCAACACCAGGTACTCTCAAAGTGTGTGTGGCAGCATGGGTTATTAATTTCATGTAAGAAATTAATTCCAATAGCCTGGTGAGAAACCCACCTGGTCCATCAGTCATAACAGATAGTCACCACCTGATTCCAGCGTCCTGGTGGAAAAATCCCCATGGGTCATCAGTCTTGACAATCACCACCTGAGTCAATTGAAAAGCCAAGGCCAAGCTTGATGTCTTAAATGCATAAGTTAGATAGCAGAGGGTGGGGGGCAGAGGGTGGGGAGGAGGAGGGTACAGCTTTTAACTGGGCAGCCAGACAGAAAAAAAGAGGTTGTTATCAAGACCATATGTAGATCTGAAATTAAAAGGACAGTGGCTTGATCACTAAAAGGTATCTGCCTAACTTGGCTTGAGGACTCTCCCTTAAGGCAGTTGGAATCACCCTAATTTTTGTACCATTTCTTTGGCTGTAGTATTTATCTATAAATATTCCTGCCCCAGCTGTTTCACGTGCAAGTGCCTGAAGCTAAGGTATGATTTTCTAGGGTGCCTGGCAACTTCAGCTCCCATGCATCCAAGTGACATCAGGACAGGCAGGGAGTGGGAGAGCGCCTTGGGTGAGAGGCACAGCTTGGGATATGGTGGCACAGCTTGGGACTCGCCCTAGGTCACGCAGCGAAGCAGCAGCAGAGCCAAGAATAGACCCGAGATCTCCCAGCCCTGTTCCCTTCTGCTCTTTTTTTTTTTCCAAGTCCTGGGATGGAGTTTGTCACATGAGCCATGGTCAGGGTCTGCCCGTGGAAACTGCACTGGAGGCAGGGCGTTCGAGCCTTGCTGTGCTTGCTTCATGGCTAACTAAACACGGGTTCTCGGTGAGGGCAGGAGATGTTAGCAAGTTGACGGTCAAAGGGTTTTCTCCCAGGTTTGCGTGAGTCGGATTCATTTCCTATTCGCCTGGCTGGGTGCTGGAAAAGCTTCCTCCTTTTCTGAATCTGTGGGGACTCTGGACACCAACTAACTGGGAAGGGCACTGACTCAAACTCGCCTTGGATGCAACTCTCCTATCAGAAGGGTGGAGGTGGCCCAGTCTGCACAGATCTGTAATGGCCAAGTTGTGGCCTATCAAAAACTAAAATGGCTAAAGGCTACCACGAGGTCAGATTATGTTCCTACCCTTTTTCTCCCTCTCAGACTCTTCACTTCACTCTTCTTTCATCCCTTTTCTTTGCTATTAATGTCCCTTCTGCTCCCATGTTTTTTTTCCTTCTCCAGCTAATCCTCCTGGCCCACCAAAACACAGCTTTTGCCACCAGCACGTTGCTCACTGCTTGTGCTCTTCCCCTCTGTGTCTATGTAGATGTGCAAGTTGTTTGGAGCTAAGCCTGTGTCTATTGTGTGTGTGTGCAGCACCATGCACATTGCTGACAGATTCCCAGCTGAGCCTGAGTTTCTGCTGCCTGAACCGTTATTAGTAACACGCACATGCTTCCCTTGCCAAACAAGTGAATTTTTTACTGGTACCTCTTTGCTTTCCTGATGGGGCCTCAGGTAGAGACAGAATTGGAGCTTCCTTGCAGTTACTTAAAATCCACATTAGAAACAGAATTAACTTGGAGGAGGTAGGAAAGGCATTTTGGCCAGATGCAAAAAGCAGGAATTAGGGCTCGGCGTGCAGAATCAGTAGAAGTTGCAAGCAATGGAGCGATTACATCCTGTCATACAACATGCATCTCGGCGTGTATTGTAATGGATTAGATTTATCAGAATAAAAACCCACACTCTGCTTTCATGTAGCTCTTGCTGACACACACACAGGATGCTTGTTTGCGGAGATTACACCGTCAGAGAAAGGAGGTTCATGCAACCCCGTCTGATATGCAAATGCACGTAGATAGGTGTCTGCATTGTACTCGACAATAATAGGAATCGCTCTTTCCAGGTAATTAGAACTTGAAGGACGGGGTCTGGGAGGAATGATGTGCCTCGGGAGTGAGGCGAATTTCAAAGAGCTTCGAACAAACCGCAGTGGCAGCGAGATGGGGCTTGCTCCGTGCAGCAAGTAGAGTGGAACAAACACCCCCTTATTGCATGCAGGGAGATTAAAGGCAGCTGTATTAGATTTATTAATGACAATTAATATTAATTTGAATGGCAGCTTCTGCAGAAAGGGCTCAGCATGGGGGGGGGCGGAGAAGTTTTTTCTGGAAAGAGGCAAAAAAAAAAATCCTTTTCTGAATTAGCCCAGTGAGCAGTAAGAACAGGCCTCCTTGTCCTTAGCCCAGCAGGACCCAGGAGTCCTCCCAGTGATCTGCCTTTCAGTCCACTGGCCCTCCTGCTGCTCCTACTTTTCCTCTCCTCACCCCTGAAGCAGTTGGAGACATTCGTTCCATGCTCGCAGGCCCCCAGATGAGATGACAAGCCTATTGTGCTAGCAGCTGCACAAGCCTTGATGCTCTTATAGATTTAGTGGGTATGTGGGGAAAGGAAGGCTTGCTAACCCCATTTCACAGATGAGGAACTGAGGCTTGGGCGCTATAAGAGGCTTGGCTTTGGCACCACAGCGAGTCTGTGGCAGCATCGAGAACTAAGCCTGCATTTTTCTAATCCCACGTCAGTCCTTTCATCCCAAGATGCGGCTCTCCTTCAACCTCCCGTGGATCCTGGTCTGCCTGCCCCAGAGCTAGCAGCTGAGAGCAGGTTGTGTGTGAAGGAGGATAGGCAGGACAGGATTTCTGCCGGCCAGATTTTCTACACTGCTCCATCTCCTAGAGGCCAGAAATCTCAGTGCTCAGACTGGCTTCCTATTTGCGGCACAGCTTCTAAACCTGAGTCTTTACCACCTGGAAGGGGCTCTAGCTTGTGAGCTAAACAGTTGATGCTAGCGAAATACTACCATCCCTCCTGTCTTGCTGAGTATAACCAGTGTGTATTTTTGGCTAGTAAAGTGCGCTCAGCTCGGGCTGCCTTTTGGGAGAGTGGAAGGAGGTTTCTGGTGAGCAAAGCTCTGTGCTCTGGTTCCCTTTAGCAAATGTCATTGGATAAAACTGGAGCTGCACAGGGCACGGCGGCTTCACAGCGGGGGCTCGTCCAAACACCATCCCTTCAGCACCCATCAATTCGCAGAGATAGTTTTCTTCAGCTACAAAAGTGCCTGATCCCCCTCTGCATTATGGAGGCCAGTGTCCCAGCCTCTCTTCCCTCAGGGACCTCTGCAGGAAGCCTCTAATTCCAGTCTGCACTCCCTGCTGCCCCACATACATGCTCAAGACCCAAAGGATCGGTAAGCAGAATGACTTGGGGCCATTGCCATCCAAGTGGTGTCCAACTTGTCTTTAAAGGGGTTGCTCTAGCTCTGGTTGCAGCAACCTCTGTCTTATCTCTGCACTTCAGGTCTCTGAGGTAGGGGCGCAAAGTTCTGCTGCAGCCTCTAACAAGCCGGAGAACACACGACAGAGCCCAGCTTGTGACTGGGGTATCTTTTAACATGCCTCTGGAAATGTCCTCCTCTCTGGGGCAACCCCCAGGTGGCACATGACAGGGATAGCAATCCCATTGCCAAGCAATCCCCCTACCAGCTGATAGCAATCCCCCTGCCAGCATATCAATTAGTATCTCTTTGATATCCATAAGGAAAATGGGTCTCAAATGTTGCACTACCTGCACTACTAAGTGCATGTGTGCATGTGAGAAAGGGAGAGTGAGAGAGGATGAGAGAAAAATCCAGCCAACCTAACACTCTTGCAAGCTCTTGGAAGCCTTTTTGGGCCAAAGTGGCACTGTATGACCCTTTTTTTTTGTTGACTAGCAAGGGAGCTCAACAGGAAGAAGGGGCAGCTTTCTCTGTTTGAGCAACACAAAAGGGTACAAGCAGCTGCCAGAGAAGAATTTCTGTTCCTTCTGAAATGTAATTAGAGCGGCTCTTCTTTCTTGCGCAGGTTACAGCTTTTGCGAGTAAACAGCTTATTGACATATTTCTTCTGGAGCACTTGATAGGAACGATTAGTATGCACGACCCAGGGTTTTCGGGGAAGGAGCACTCAAGCGTGGTTTTGGCAAGTGAGTACTGAACTGCAGTGGGGATGGGGAAAAAAAACAACCCAACCTTGCTGCAACTAACTCCTGAACAAACCCCTTGCTCCGTGCTTGCTTAACGCTTTCCATCCACGGGACATTTTGCAAATGCTAGAGGGCCCGGGGTTAGTGTTCGCCAGTGAGAGTGTGTACACACACAAGTATTCAACAGTAGCCATTGCACTTGTGTGGTTTCCAAATGCAGACCGCTCCCCACAAACCCCCAGCAATGGACCTGGGGATAGGCAAGAACTGTCTGCCTCAAAAGGGAGGCAAGATACCCTTGTGGGCAGTTCTCTGCCCCAGCCACAAGATCTGAGCTCTGCTGCCAGGCCATGGGCAAAGCACCGTGCCTCAGTTTCCTCAAGCATAAGTAATGGCACTGGACTTCTTCTTTAAAGCACTCTGACATGAAAAGCTCATAGTAGTATCAGCAATCTTAGGAAACAGAGCTGGACCGGTGCTTTCTCCACTTCTTTAAATATGCTTTAATGGAGGAAGGGGTCAGTGAATAGATTATTTACAGTAGTGATTTGCCCACAGCCCCCCAGCAGGTCATGCGGAGAGCGAGGAACAGGACGTAAAACCCTCAGTTCTGGCCACTGGAGATGATGCCTCCTCGTACTTCAGCTGTTGTACTATACCTGGGGGAATCTGCAATCTTTATTAGGTCCGACGCTCTTGGTTTTTGCTCGTGTTTAGTGTCCATGCGACTATACTTCTCATAGAGCCGCTGGGGAGAAAGAGGCTGTATGTGGAAGATCACTACCATGAGAATCAGAGAGTGCAGAGGAAGCATATGGGAGCCGTGCCTTTTGCGTTCTTGTCCCCATGCTGATAACTCAGGCAAAACACAAGCATCAAATACTTTGTAATATGCCTCCAGTTTCCCCCCCTCGGTAACATCATTTTGCATTATCCCCGTAGCAGCACAGTACAGTACATAAAACATGCGCTGGCGAAGTCCCAGTTGAAGGGCTCAGTCTAGCTGCTGGATTAGAGTCAGTAGAAACCTAACAGACCCTAAAGACCCAAATGGGGACATACAGGTGCAATGCACCATAAGGCAGGGCAGCTTTTTCAGAAGCTGATGTAGCCTCTGTTGACTGTGGTTCGTCTCATCATGGGGATGCCCACGACCAAACTGTGCAGAGGTCTTGAGAAACTTAAGTGGGAAGACACGCTGTGCCCTACAGCAGGGGAGCCATAAGCTTTGGTTGTATGCTATGCAGGAACATCTCTCACATCTCATGCACCTGAACCAATCCTTGCCCCCAGAGGGCTGTTCTGTGCCAGGCTCGCTGCCATCCCTCATGCCAGGTGCTGCCCTTACACAGCTAAGTGTCTACCAAACTAAAAATAACACCAATTTTCTAGGGGGAAGAAAAAGGGGTGGGTTGGAGGGATTTCTCTGCCTGGCTTCTCAAACATCTTACCTGACTTCGTTTTCCCTCCAAGGCTGGATGTTTGATATTCTCATCAGGCAGTTTTTAAGCATTCAGGAGGTGCAGCAAACTACCTTGGAAAAAGTTCCCCTGGGAGATTTCCATCGGAAAGCTTTTACAGAGGTGGTAAGTAGGCTCGTATTTTTAGCCGTTGATAATTTTTGCTCTCTTGTCCCTGTACAGCAGGGAAAGGAATCCAAGAAAAGAAAAAAAAAAAAAAGATCCCCCCACGTGCTCTGGCAGAAGCCGGGTAGCTGCATGGCTAATTAAGGCAGAAGGGTCGGATGTAACAGCAAGGGATTATTTAGAGCGGCACTTGTGATGATTACATGTTTTCTGCTAATCATGGCCCGCACTCCCTTCCATATTAAAATAGGTCAGTATTAAATACTCCGAGTTCTTTTTAACCCTTCAGGTGCTAGGGGCATGGCTGCGGGCATCTCTCTCCCACCTTTGGACCACGGCTGGCAGCACCTGCGGGGAGGCCCGAGGCCCTGAGGGCACTTCAGGCTTGCCTACGCCATCTCCATGCCTACTCCCGTGTGTCTAAGCTGGGAAATGAGGCAAGGTACCTGCCCCACAGCACATGTCCAACACTGCTGTCTGCCTCAGCTGTGCTGGTTGGCACCCACTCAGCTGCTCTGGCACCGGTACCTTGCCTCATTTCCCAGCCTGGACACACCAGAGTAGGCACGGAGATGGTGAAGACAAGCCTGAAGTGCCCTCAGCGCCTCCCCACAGATCCCTTCTCTACTAGCTCTGCAAAAGGCTGCAGCTCAGCCCTTTCTCCTCCTGAGGCAGATATGGTGCATACTTTGCCGTGGAGCGGTCTTTTGTCCAGGATACTAAGCACTTCACATTGCAGCTTCTCTGCATAGGCAAAGGCTTCACTGCACTTTCCCTCCTAGTAGGTGTTTGGCCAGTTGCCACCTCGGTGGGATTATAGCGGCATGGACTGCGGCTCGATTGGTGCTTAGCCCTTAATCCTCCATCCGTCCTACAGGCAGGCGATGCATTTCTTTGCAGGAGCTTGCTGGAGATCAGATGGAGTTTGGTTCTTCAATTCTTTTCTCCTGCAAGTCTTTGGACTTTTGGTAGATCAGATGGATCAGATGGACTCGATCTACAGACCGCACTCTGTAGATCAGATGGTATTTTATGGCCGAGCGGCCACGTGCAATTTGAGTTCCTTCAGGATGAAAGGCAGGAGCCTGTAAAAACAAAACAAAACAAAACAAAAACCCCCCAAAAACAAAAGACAAATGGTTTTATTGGAAGCAACCACTAGATGGCAATAGATTAGCAATTTTTAATTTAACGGCTCCAGCGAAAAAATCCTAACAAATGGCAGATTTTCTGTGCCCAAAGGTTTCAGCTTTGCTGGACTGTCGCTGTCTCTAATCTGAGGGGATATTGCTTTGTCTTAAATTACTTAAGAGGTAAAGGCTGCTTCTGTTAAAATCTGAAATTACATCTGTAGTTTGTCTCTTATCTCTGCTCATTACAGATCTTCTCTGTACAGCATATCCCATCTCCCTTGTTTAGCGTTGCTTGATAAAATGTATTACTTTAAAAAAAACAACAACAGCCCACCATAAAGTCCCTTACCTTCTTCCAAATCAGCTTTGCCTCAGTATTTCTTGCATAGGACACCTGGGATTCCCTTTCTGTGTTTCAGGCTTTAGATGTTATCTTGACCGAACTGAACAAACTGGCAGAGGAAGACATGGAAGATCTACTCCGCTATGAAAGAGGAGTCAAGGCAGAGGTGTGAATGTCTTTCAATGCTAAAAAGCTAATGCAAGACTGTAAGCGGGTTGTGAGCTATTTGCGATCAAGATGCATTAGCAGAGTATGTGCATGACTGAGCCGGGTCCT